GTAGCTATTAATATAGTTACTACACTACTAACAGCATAAAATAGGTTAAATATAATACTTACTTACACCTGCTACTACATAAAATAATTAATAATCTTGCCTAGTAAAAATAACTAAAAAGTGTATAATTAGGCTACAGCACTTTTATTAAGATAGGCTATAGTTAATTAAGGTTTTTTAACTATAATTATTAGTAATTAAGATTTAAAGTTTATAGGTAAACTTTAGTAAGTACTTTTTACTAAGCTAAAGGTAGAACTTTGCTTCACGATGGCCTAGCACGCTTAGGTAAATAAATAAAGCAAAAGGTTAAATTAAATTATAAAGGTTTTCCTACGCTATGCTATTATAAGTTTAAAGTACCTAAATAAATAAGTGGAAGCTTTACCCTACTTGCAGGCAACTTTAAACACCTATACTAATACTTTAATAAAGCATTTTCCTCACGAGCTTATGTATGGTATAAAAATTTAAACTACCTTATTACTAATAATTATAACCTAAAACATAAAAGCTTTATTAAAAAACTTTAACTATTAGGAAAATGCTACTACCGTACTTAAACTTGTATAAATAATTATAAAATATTACTATAATAAGAATTATATTTTTATATTATTTAAACTAGGTAATCTTGTCTGTTTACGCTTGCATAAAAAATATAAAATATAGGTAGTATTAAATAAAAAGCTTTTACTATAGTATGCAGGCTTTTTTAAAGTACTGGAAAAAGTAGGCCCCCTAGCCTATTATTTAGACTTTCCTTTGGATTAGCGCCTTTATCTAGTAATTTTAATAGCTTATTTAAAAAGATATTTAAAATCTAATTTTTATAATTACATAAACATTAAACCAGGCCCAGAACCTATTAAAAAAATATAACAAAGTTTTAGTTATATAAAATTAAGAGACTTATTATAAAAAGGTGGATATTAAATAGGCCTGAATACTTGGTTAAGTGGTTAGGATGGTTTAAACACTAAAATGCGTGGTATTATAAATCCTTACTCTAGGATGCAAAGGAGATAATAAACTAGTATAAAATAAATTATTTTAATAATACTAGTTTGCAAGTTAACAGGCACAAGCACACAAGGTGTTAGGATGTTACTAAAGCTTAGGAAGTTCTAAAAACCACTATTAAAAAAGGTTATAGGCGCCCTTGCAAAGAGGCCTCTTAAAAATCTCCCTCCTAGGCATAATATTATTACCTTTTAAACTTTTAAAACAATATTACTTGCTTACCCCAACTATTATATTATATTCTAACTAAATTATTAACTATAATACTTACCCCTAAGTTTTATTATTATTTTATATTTAAGTATAGCCATAATAATATTATAAGTTTTATTACTTTGGTATTGCCCCGCTTTTTTACTTTACTTTTTCTCTTTTTTTATATTATTCTTTAACTTTTTTAACCTCTTTAATTATTATTTATTTTTTATTATTCTTTATACTTTATTATTCTTATATTTTTAATTTATTTTTAAGCTAGCAGTAACTTCCGCGATGGCGCTAAAGTAAAGATAAAATTTAGTTAAAGGTGCTACAGCAGGCCTAAAGTCAAAAATTAAAAATTTAAAGAAATAAATTAAGACCCTTTAAGCCAAGGAAACATCTCATGCTTTAAGCAAGATAATAAAAACAAAGATTATTTAGTAATTAAGAACTAAGGTGGCGGAACTTCGTACCTTTAATAAGGAATTAAAGGTAATATAAAGCAAATTACTAGCAAACAAACTTCTTTAGGCAAACCAGGCCAAAAAGACAGGGTATAAAAACGTGCTTAGCCTAAAACTAGCCCCCTAAATAGCGGTTCTAGTCCGCAATAACAAAATTAAAAAAGTAACTAATTACCTTAGGAAGAACTAATAATAACAACATTTAATTACTATTAACAATAGCTATTTTTAAAATAAACTAAATAACATATTCTAGTCCAAATAAATATTTTTATATGTGTATTTATAGTACAGGGCGTTTATTAATAGTAATACATGCTTTTTAATAAATAAACCTTTAAAATAGCCAGTGCTAAATCTTAAAAAAGCAGAGGAAAAACTAAAAGTTTTAATTAGCATGTTAAATAATAAGACTTTACCTATATATAAGGTGTTAAGCATAAACCCAAGAGAAGGTACGCAGTGCGTGTTAAAGCCCTTATAACCTTAGCTAAAGCATAATAAAGGGAAGTTTTTTATTATTATAGCTAATAACCAAACACTTATATTACTAAATAATATTACTTAATACCCTAAAGTTAAATAACACGCAAGCTTTAAATAATTACTCTACAACCACCTAAAATCCTTGGCTAAAAATACACTTAAAGCATATTTAAAAAATATTTTTACCTAAAAATGTAAGATAAAGCTAGTTTAGCAAAAGTGGGTGGCTAATTATAAGTAATAAAAATTCCTACTTATTAAAAAACTTACTAAAAACCCAGCAACATGTTGGCCCGCTGGAACTACAGTATAAATAATTAATACTTTTAAATTTATAAATTTTATTACTAATAGCTTAGAACCTATTATTAACATAGTTTATACGCCTATTATTATAAATAAAGCTATTTAAAAATTACAAGAAAAACTTGCTACTAAAGTTAAAAAAAAGGATGCTTAAAAGTTACTAGACTACCTAAGCACACCTAGCGGTAAAAAGGCAGCATATTAACGGGTAAAGTTATTAAATTTTATATAGCTAGTATTAAAACGTTCGTGCAAGGAATTTTCCACCTAGTTAATAAAGGTATATAACAATAATATAAATATACTGTTTTTTAGAAATAATCCAGCCAAGAATTAGAAGTTAGTTAATAATTTTATAAAAAAACTTAACTTTTTATGGGGAAACATTAGTTCACGTGAAAAGTAAAAGTAAAGTGGTTAGGACTTTCCTGCGTGCTTAATATTAAGTTTAATTAATAAAGTTAGATCTTTTACCTCTTTTAATTTTTTTACTTAACTTATTTTAGAATTTCCTAAATATTATGCGCAACAATTAGTGTCCTATTATAATATCCTACTAATTTTTTACCTTTTTTAATTTTTTTACTTAACTTATTCCGGAGTTTCCTAAATATTATCCGCATAATAATCCTATTGTTTTTGCCCTATTATTTTTTTTATTTATTTTATATTTATGGTCTTTTTATTACAAGGCAACACTTTGCTTTTAACTATAACTTCCATGCAGTACTCTACTCGCACCTTATTATAGTTACTAAATTAAGGGGGACTGTTATGGTTAGATCCTGCGGATATTAATAACTTATGCCTAAGTTATCCACTATGTAAATAAATAGCCTTATAGCCATTTATAGTTAATTATTAATATCTTCTTTAGTTATATGACGTTTCTTCAGGTGTCGCCTGGCCACTACCACAACATATAATAAAAATAAAAATAATTTTTTATAAACAAGGGTAAATAAAAAGTGGGAAAAAATAACTTTAAGTCTTTTTAATATTATATATAAGCCTATTATTAAAAAAATAAAAACTAAATAAAATAGCTTTAAAAAAAAGTGGAAGGTATACTAACACTTTTTAACTTATATAAAAAAAATAGCTTAATAGTATTTACTTTAAGTGCTTTTTTAAGTGTTATACTAATAATTATAAGTATTTAAGTATAATAATAACTTTATAAAATAAAAATGCTTATATTTTTTTAAAGGCCTAGAATTTTTTACTTAGTAATATTTTTATTTTTATATAAAATATTAAAAAGGTTATTACTACTTATTATTAGCTTATTAACAGGGAATTTATAAAAAAAAAATACTATAAGTATTAAATTTATAATAAGTTATTATTTTAAGCTATTAATAATAAGATCTTTTTATTTACTTTATAAAAAGTTTTTAAATATTATAATAAATACCTGCCAAAGGGCCTTAATAAAAAATTAATTTAAAAGTATATAAAAATAACTTCACGGGTAAAGGGGTTACTTTATATTTATATTATTTAAGCCTTTTTTAAGACTGGCCTTTAAGTTATTTACTTTTATTAATAATAATAGCTAAGGCTAGATTTTAATACTAGAATTAATATATTAATTATATTATAAAATTTAGTTATTTAAACTTAAAACTAGCAAGGCTAGCAAGGCAAAAATTATGGCTATAATTATAAAAGGTATTTATTTTTTTATAAAAAAGTTAAGGCTAATATTTAAAAATAAAGTTAAATAAAGTAATAAAAATAAAGGTTAGCAAGGCAAGTAATGTGCTAAAAGGTTATATAATAAGCTATTATAAATAGCCTTATCCTAGCGCCTAATTAAAAAGTTATTATTATTAATAATAATAATAAAAATAAAAAACTAGAGCTACTAAAGCTAGTATAAGTAAAATAAAAAAAAATTTATAAAGGTTAAAGTAATAACCGTGGCTGGGGCCGGGGCTATAAAAAAATATTATTTTAAAAAAAGTTTTAAAGTTAATACTAGGTATAATTAAATTTTAAGCCTTTTATTAATTAATATAAGTACTAGTTTAATAATTAAAACTTACGCATGTTTAGCCTATAGTTTAAATACTAAATTTTATATAAAAAGTTAAAATTTAAAGCGCTGCGCGCCCGCGCGGAGTATTTTATTACTAAGCTAAGCCTAATTAAAAAGCAGCAATGGGTTAATTATATTAGCACCCGCTCCTAATTAGGGTTCCGCTTTATAAAACCCTGTTAAATAGTTAAATTACCCTGTCAAAAAAGACTAACTCTTAGTGTAGACTGTAGACTGGTTTATTTAGGTAAATAGTGCTCTTAGTAATCAGCAACAATGAGGTCCTACAAGTAGACACAACAAGTAGAGTCGATTACAAGGGTAGCTCTATCTTCAAAATACAGGCCCCGCGCAGCCTGAACAGGTAATACCCAAAGACTTCCGCTGACATCAGCATGGCCAGTCTAGTCAGTTATAAATGGGATATCAGTGTTGGTTAAGCGCCGACAATCTTCCTTCCATCTCAACAACCCATCATGAGCCCATCGCTGAATCTTCGCAGGGCATCAGGAGCCTTCCGCTCATTTGTCCAGAAGATCAGAAGCTTTAAGCGACCTAGTTCTTCCCCTTTGTGCGACCTGCCGCTTGAGCTATTGCTAGAAATCAGCGCTTACCTGGACGCCCCTGCCTTGTGTTCTTTTCGACTCACCTGCAGATCTCTATACAACTGCACCTTCTCCGAATTCTGCAAGACATACCTTGAGCCGCTGGAAACTGTCACGACAGACTTGTCCTGTTGTTCCCTTCGAAGGCTGAACACTTTATCCTTGAATCCGCGAATAAGTCCGCATGTCCGCTCATTAGACATCGACGGCACAAAAGATGAAATCCTAGGAAGGCGCCTCCAATGGGAACGCCACCCCTCTGGGCTCCTCGATACTTCGCAGGAGTCTGTCCGACGGTTGCAGGGGATCTTACTGCGCCTGGTTAATTGCGAGACTTTTCGTCTGTACCAGCATTTCACGCAATGTTGTCCCGGCGGCTCACAGGATATCCTATGTTCCTCTGATACAATCACAATCATTCTCAGCATTGTCGCTGCAATAGAGCGCCCAATTCGAGAGTTCCATATCCTATTCAAGCCCCCAGAAGGTACTGGTGGCAATCGGATCAACATGTCTCGCGTCGACACAAGGCTTGTCCGAGATCCGAAGTTCATCACTGCATTTTCTACCCTGGAATCGCTCACGTGCAATTATTCAATGGATACAAAAGATATGGTTGACTTCGCGGCACAACTCATACAACATGCAGGGAACCGCCTGCGACGACTCAACATTGACCCCGATCACGGCTACGGCCTGACAGATGGGTATCATCTGCTGTCACGCTTGTATGCGGCCCAGATCACCCTTAAGTTACACGAGTTCACCCTGCACGCAGCTCGTGTAGGCTCAAGCGACGCCTTTATCAATTTCCTATCCTCCTGCAAACAGAGCTTGACCAAGTTATCGCTTGATCGTGACCATCTCGATTCAGGGAATTGGGCGTCCGTTTTACGAGCCCTTTCGAGATTCCCTTCGCTGATCGAGATTCACACATATCTGCTCAGCGATCCAGAATCAAAAATACACTTTCCAGCAGTGATACAAGACCCTGTTGTTGATCCAGTGCTGGGAACAAAATTTTCGTACACTGCCAAGAACCTTCGAATGGGCCAGATAACCCTGATGGTTGCCTATTCCGGTCGTAGCATGGACGTTGCCTTGCAAAAGCTGGCCGACTACGCAACACCTTGGAAGCTCACAGTGTCTGGCACCTGATAATGGAGCTAGCGAAAACTTGTACTATTTGTACTATAATTACCAATCCGAATTCCACGTCGAGACGTGCTTTACCCAGTCAATGCGCACGGATTCCCATTCTGATCAAACTGTCGCACATACGCAGGGTTGTCATTCTGGATATAGTCTTATTCTACATACGAAAGCTCCATCATGACAACCACGACCTGCGCGCCATCAACCACAATCACCGTCACGGGCTGCTCGGTGACTCCCGCAACCACTACCATAACCGAGGGGGCCACTTGTCGTCCGAGAACAGTCACGCATCCGACTTCTACTACTTTTGCTACGACCACCAAACCTCCTGTTTCCACTACCACCTCTGATTCAATTTCAACGTCTTCCTCTACTTCCTCTACTTCCTCTACTTCCTCTACTTCCTCTACTTCCTCTACTTCCTC